CATCCACACATGGGGGGTCCAGGTCCACCTCAGGTCACATTCACACATGGGGGGGGTCTCCTGGTCCACCTCAGGTCACATCCACACATGGGGGGGTCTCCCGGTCCACCTCGGGTCACATCCACACATTGGGGGAGCAGGGCTCCCAGAACACCTCATGTCACATCCACACATGGCGGAGGGTCTCCCAGAACACCTCATGTCACATCCACACAAGGAAAGGGGGGACTCCTCGTCTACTTGGTGTCACATCGACACACAGGGCAGGGGAAGAGGGGCTCCCAGCTGGTGTTACATCCACACATGGGGCGAAAGAAAGAGGAGCTCCCAGTCCACCTGGTGTCATATCCATACATGAGGTGGGGGATCCCAGTCCAGCTCGTGTCACATCCACACATGGGGGCTGGGGGCTCCCAGTCCAGCTGGGGTCACATCCACACATGGCGGGGTCTCCCGGTCCACCTCATGCTTGCTCCCCCCTCTCAAGTCTGCCTTCTCCCCATCAGCAAGGGGCAGCACCATGCTGATAGTCTGCCTCCACTTCTCCCATCCCACAGGCAGTGTCGGCAAAGTCTGTCCTCAAGTTCCATCTTCAGGTCCTAGTCCAGGATCCAACAGCTCCTCTATCTCCAGTCTCCCCCCACCCCGCCCTGGGTCTCCATCCTGGTGCCCCGCAGCGGCTGGGGAGCCTGTGAGCATTTCACACGTTACTTTAAAGCTGCTGTTGCTGCTGAGCAGTGCCTGGCATCCTGCTCCAGCCCCGCTCCAAACCCTCCTGGCACTCTCCGCATGGTCTCCCTTATGCCCAGGCCCCTGCACCTGACCCACTCTCTCAGCTCCCTCTCAAGGCCCTTCCTGACCAACCCATGTGAAAACAGCATCTATCCTGACACCACTGTTCACTGCAATTTCCTTCCTCTGCTTCACACTTTGCTTCAATGACTGCTTTCTTCTCGACTATTCCCAGGGCCGAGCACTCAGGCAACATTTGTTGAATGAATAACAGAACGGACTGAACGCACAACCTCACCGTACAGGTCTGGCCGATTCCGCAGACGGTGCCGTACAAAGTTGTGTCCAGGCCACGGCAGCAACGAGCCTTTGATGCGGTCCAGGACCTGGGGAGGTAAGGCCAGCACCTGGATGCAGCCCTAGGGCTCCACCCCCAGGGGGACGCAGCCAGCCTCCTGTCCAGCCGGCCTCTCTTTGCCTTCCACAACCTCCCGCAAGGAGCTCCTGCTCTGGCCTCCCGCACAGGCCTTCCCCTGGCCAGCTCCCACTCACTGTCCCACTTCCAAGCGGTCCCCCTTGGGGCTTGTCTTCGTCCTATGTGGTTCTTCCTCCCTCTCCCTGTTGCCCTAAACTCCCTTCTGACTCTCCCACCCGAATCCGAAGGATCTGAGTGCCACATCTTTCTCCAGCATGTAAGAAACTCTGGTGATGTAGGGGTTACATGCTGTACTACTAATCAAGATGAATCTACCAGCCACTCTGCGGGAGCAAGATGGGCAGTGTACTGCTGTGAAGATTACCTCGGAACCCTGGCAAAGATGTGGGCTTAATTCAATAGCACTGAGTATAACTCTAACACAAGATATTCGGGCTTGTCATCTCCCCTCCCTGGCCGGCGCTTCCGATGCACGTTGCACACAGCTAGCTTTTCCTGCTCCAGCTCCCCCAGGCCCCTCAGGAGAAAATCCAAACTCTACTTAACTCACCAGGCTCTCTGCGATCTGCCTTCTGCTTGCCTGTCCTAACTCATCCCACAGCACTGTCCCCGCCCCTACAGATTCAGACACATGGAACCCTTACATACTTAGAAGGCCTGTCCCTGTCTTGACAGATCACCTGCACCCCTGTGTTACCATGGCCTTTAAAACCAAACCCCAAACCCACTGCCTTCGCATCAGTCCCAACTCAAAGTGACCCTACAGGAGAGAGGAGGGCTGCCTCATACAGTTTCGGAGGCCGTAGATCTCCATGACAGCAGGCTGCCACATTTCTCAAGTAACAAAGCTGGGAGATTCAAACTCAAATTATCCACTAGCAAAGAGCTTAATTGCTGCACCACCAGCCCCCCCCCAAAAAAAAAACAGTTAATCCTACAAGCCTAGGTAAGACCAAGAAACCCAGGTGTCAGAGTGGTTAAAAAACTCAGCTGCCAACCAGAAAGTCAGGGAACTCTGGTGGCCTAGTGCTAAGGAGCTAAGCTGCCAACCCAAAGGCAGCAGTTCAAATCCACCAACTACTCCATGAGAGAAAGATGGGACAGTTACTTCCTGTGCGATTTACAGCTTCTGAAAACCCACTGCAGGAGCAGCTATGAGCTGGATCATACCACCAACAACCAAAAGGTTGGCAGTTCAATCTTGCCATTCACTCTGGGAGACATAGAGGAAATCATCTACTCTGTCAAGATTCACAACCTCAACATCTCTATGGGCATTTCTTTTTTTTCTCTCTCTCTTTTATTATTTTGTACAATGTACCATCAAATCAGATCTGACTGGTACAGGAGGAGATTGTCCCTCCCAGCAGAGCATCTGGTGGATTCGAACCGCACACCTCTGGGATTGCAGTGCAGCTTCTTGCCACTGGCCACCAGAGCTCCTTTCTAAACACAGGGTCGCTGTGAGTCAGAATCGACTGATGGAACGTGGTTTTCAGCTCGGTGTGCTTTCAGGTAGCTCCCACACCGGGCTGGCCAGCTCCGTCTGGTGCCTGATGTGGAACAAGTGCCCAGTGCATCTTAGCAGAGCCCCAAGCAGGACTGCAAACCCCATCCCACCAGCTTCCGGGGCCTGACCTGTGAGGTGTCCACGTCAAAGAAGCTCTGATAGTAGCTGAAGGTCCAGAACCCCGGCTGCTGCGGCTGCTGCTCGCCCTCCTGCAAGAGCTGTACAAGAGGAGGACTCTCACTCAGGGCCGGTGCCCAGAGCCAGGGCGAGCGAGGGGCAGCGCGCAGGGCGGCGGGGGGCTCACCGCAGCCTTGTCACTGTCCTCCTCCCCATCCTCCGCTCCATAGCTACCACCGGAGTCCATGGCCACTGCCACGTGCCCCAGTGGGGTCAGCTGGTCGCTTCGGCTCGTGGTGGCCGCATCCGGGGTTTCAGCCAAGAGATCAGTGGCTTCCTGGAACTCTAGATTAGGAAAACGAGGCGGAGGCGTATTTGGGGGAGCAGAGGTTGCTCAAGTCCCGCAGCCTGGGCGACGGGAAGCCAGTCTGGTAACTTAATAACGTGAGCCTGCAATTCAGGGTCTGGGGGCATTCTGTTCCAGGGTGGACACACGGTCTGGGGTAAGAAGCTCTGCTGCGAGGTCTGAGCGCAGAGTCAGAGACGGGAATCGCTGGTTCAAGGTTCACAGCTAACTGGGGGTCCGAGCAAGACGTGAGCTGAACGGAGCCCAGCAGGGCGGGGAGGGCCGGGGCAAGGCTGCACTCACCGTGGAAAGTGAGCTCGTCCGCCGCGGCCATGGCCGTCCAGGGGCGTCACCACATCCCGCTCTGAGCACAGAGACCGATCAGGCCCGCCTCTCCCTCCCGGAGCTCAGCCCTCAGGCTGATACGGGGTCGTGAACCCGCCTCCTGCTCCCGACAGGTGTACCCCGCCCCACCTCACCTGAGACGCTCAGCAGCCGCGGCTGAGCCTCTCTGCGCCTGCGCGGCCCGCCCCCCCGCCGCGGCCGAACCGCCAGCGGCCAACGCGCTCGGATTGGGCAGCAACATCCGGCGCCAGTCCGTCCCCTATCCTCTTCCGACCGGAAGCCACTTCCGGCGGTGTTGGGTCTAGTTTAACGTCCCAGACACTTTAACTTCACCTACTGGGTGTTTCTCTTCGGACCAAGGACTCCAAGCCGGAAGGGAATGGTGGGGGCCGCTCTGAAGCGATTTTGGTCCCGAGGTCGCGGACGATCGGGGGAGATGGCGGTCGCGAAGCCGAGCGTGTGGACACGCTTGGGTGTGTAACGGCGGAGGCGGCAGGGTGGGCGGCCGGACGGGCGGGCTTCTCTGACCGCGCTTCTCTCTCTCCAGGCACCTGGTCCCGCGCGCTTCTCCGGGACTACGCGGAGGCCTGCGGGGACGCGGCGGCGGCAGCCCGGGCCCGGCCGGTCCGCGCGGCGGTGTACGCGGGGCTGCTGGGCGGGGCGGCGGCCTGCTGCGCGCTGGCTCCGAGCGAGGCGGCCTTCGAGGAGGCGCTGCTCGACGCCTCGGGCACCCTCCTGCTGCTGGCCCCGGCCACGCGCAACCCCCGCTCGGAAGAGCACGTGCAGCGGCTGCTCTGGCTGCGGGGCCGCGGCCGCCTGCGCCACCAGAACCTGGGACTCTGCACGCTGGTCTATGAGGCGCCTTACGACGCCCAGACGAGCCTCTACCAGGCCCGCTGCCGCTACCTGCAGCCCCGCTGGACCGACTTCCCGGGCCGGCTGCTGGACGTGGGCTTCGCGGGCCGCTGGTGGGTGCTGGGGGCGCGGATGCGCGACTTCGACATCAACGACGGCGAGTTCCTCCACCTGCCCGCGCACTTGCGCGTCGTCGGGTCCCACCAGCTGCGCTCCGAGGCCAACGAGCGGCTCTTCGACGAGAAGTACAAGGCGGTGGTGCTGAGCGACGACCAGGTGGACCAGGCGCTGTGGGAGGAGCAGGTCCTGCAGAAGGAGAAGAAGGACAGGCGGGCCCTGAGCGAGGCCGACTCGCTGGTGCAATCAGAGGGCCCGAGATGACACCCCGGGAGGCAGGGGCCGAAGGGGGGTCCCCGTGGCCTGGCCGAGAGCCTGGACTGCGCGCTGGCGTGAGTGGGCGCAGCGCCCCATCGGCAGGTGGTACACGCTGGGGGGAGGGGTCCCGCCCAGTGGTCCCGCCCCTTTACCTTCTTCCTTGTAAGTTGCGTTGATTTAGAGCGGCCTTGCTTTAGGAGTTGACGTTTATAAGATGAAGTGACGTTTAGGAGATGAAGTGACGTTTATAACTGTCAGCCAGCAGTGAGATTGAGATGGAGATCGAGGTACCCCCATCGTTCCACGTTGTCACAGAACTGAGCTCTCCCGAGATCATCCAGATGTGTGTGTACGGGGTGATTCTGTAATTAATTTGAGCAGAAGTGGGTTTTACACGTATCTATTTGAGATCACTGAGCTCCTTGGAAGTTGGAAAAAATAACACGGAGACAACCATTGCACCACCCAGCCTCGCCTGCTGCTAACATCTTAACAGAAGTTGCTGTCTCTCTGTCAAAGAAACGATAAGGGCACAACCCTTTGGGTTTAACAAGGACACGTTTTCTTTCAAAGTAGCTTTGAGGAATCAAGTCTTTCATGATTTGGGACTCTGTTTAATAGAGTCAGCCTGGTTATGTCAGGCTTCAGTTATCTCGGAAACACAGTCTTGCCACAAAATAAGCAAGTAAGTGGACATTTGCTGACAGGTTGTGGTGACCGTACTTTTAAAACTGAAGTTAATAAAGGAAGACGGTTTTCTCGTAAAGTTGGCTTTAGCTTGTTAATAAAATGAAGAGATGAGGCAGCTGTCATTGATGGAATGTTTATGTGTATTGGCATTTGGACTTTATGGTCACTGTGTGGGTACATGAGGTTCATGGTGATTTCTGTGTCCTTCCTGGGTGTAGAGAAAGCACTTTAAAAGTTAGCATCCCATTTTGCAGGGAAGAAAAGGTTCAGAAAGTGCAGAGTCATGATCAGCCTCTTAACTCTCACCACTGAGACTTCACCTCAAACTTTAGACACAGATTCCATCACTGCTCTAATTCTTCGACTTGCTAACCAAAAGCTTGGCAACTTGAGTCCGTCAGTACCTCTGAGAGAGACGGGTCGGCAGTCACCCCATAAAGATTCACAAGCCTGGGAAACCCAGTGCAGAAGGTTGCCTTGAGTTGGGAAAAACCTGACTGCAGTGGATTTTTTGCTTCCCATAAGTAAAACATGCTATGTGCTGTCGAGTTGCCTGCGACTCAGAGCAACCCTGTGTACAACAGCTCTAAACTCTACCCTGTCCTGAGCCAGTCTCACTGACTTTGACACACCTACCTCTGTTGCTCCAGTTACTGGTTCATTCCATCTCATCTGGGGTCTTCCTCTTGTGCACTGTCACTCCACCCATCTGAGCATGATGTCCTTCTCCAGGGACCAGTCCCTCCTGGCCAAGAGCTCAAAGTATGTGAGATGGAGCATCAAAATCCTAGCCTCCAAGAAGCAAATTGGTTTCATTCTCTCCAAGACCTAATTGTTCTCTTGGCGGTTCATAGTATGTTCAAGACTCTTCTCCAGCACCACAGCTCAAAGGCATCAGTTCTTCTTCTGTCATTCTTAGTCATTGTCCAACTCTATGATGCATAGCAAGTAATTACAAAGACCATGGCCTGGATCAGACGTTCTTCAGTCTCTAGACTGATAACATTACTTCTCAGTAAAACATAAATGGATAAGTAAGTTACAGAGATAACATGACAAGTACAAGGCACATGATACTGAATTCTAATACTTGCGACAGGTTCTGCACTGAAATCCTAGTCTTAGTAAAGTGTGAAGGATAGCTAACGTCAGAAAAGGAAGTTCACTGTTGCCTTCACAGAGAGACTTTTCCTCATTGCAGTCAGAAGAAAGAATTGCACATCTTTATTACTTGAGACAGTAATTAAATCTATTCTGATTTCCAGCCAGCGTGTTTTCCATGCACACCTCCTGTAGCTGCTGGGAACAGTGAACCTCACCAGAGCGTGGTCATAATCCGACTTGGGAATTACCTACGGTCTGTGATTGGTTTCTTCAGTAGCTGGCCTTTGTCAGAGCAGAGCCAAAATACAGAAATTGTGGACTCTATTTTGGGCCATCTGCTAGTGGATAAGGAATAGTGCTGCCATTCCACAGGTGGGCAGTTCCAGTCCATCATCTGCTCAGTGAGAGAAGGATGCACCATCTCCTGTGCTATTTCAGTTTCTGAAAACCCAGTGGAGGGTCAGTTAGGAGTTGGGTCTGACTAATTGGCAGTGAGGCTTGTTTTGAGAGCCAGTGCCCTGGCCTCCTGGGTCTAGTGTAAGAAGTGAGTTCTGTTCGATCTGGAGGAAAGCTATCTGGCCAACTTACTGGAAGAGATCCATATTTATTCTCATTCCAAAAAAAGATGATCTGATGGAGTGTGGAAATTATCAAAACAATATCACCAATACTGCAAGCAAAATCCTGCTTAATATTACCCAGAAGCACTTGGGATACCAGAAATACACACTGGGTTGAGAAGAGGCTGTGGCACTAGGGACATCATCACCAATGTCAGATGGATCTTAGCTGGAAGCAGAGAGTATCAAAGGAATGTCCATCAGTATTTCATTGACTATGCAAAGACATTTGTGTGGACCACAGCGAGCTGTGGGTAATTTTCAGAAGAATGGAAATCCCAGAACACTTGATTGTGCTCACGGGTAACCTATACTTAGACCAGGAAGCATTTGTCAGAGCAGGAAAACACTTACTGTCAGGTGCCATTGAGTATGACTGATACCCACCCTCTGAACAAATGATCTGAACCCTATTCTATCCTGAGCCATATTCACACTTGTTGATAGACGAGTCCATTGTAGCAGTCATGAGGCCAGTCCATCTGGTTAAAGATTTTCATTTCCTTCATGGACTCTCCACCTTCCCAGCATCACGTACTCCTCCAAGGAATAAGCAGCACCTCCTAGCAACATGTCCAAAATGTGTGAGGTGAAGCCTCATCATTCTTGCCTCCAAAGAGCACTCCGGTTACACCCTCTCCAAGACACAGCTGTTTGTTCTCATGGGCACCCCATGGGCTGTTGAATGCTCTTCTCCAACACCACAGCTCAAAGACAACAATTATTTCTTGTCATCCAAGGAAACACTGCATGGTTCAAAATGAAACTGATGTGTCAAGGATGCATCTTGTCTCCACACCTTTCCAATCTATATGCAGAACATTGGGAGACTGGGCTTTATAAGGAGGAGTGTGACATCAGAATTGGAAAAGGACTCATCAACAACCTATGTTACATTAATTACAGCCATCTTTACCAAAAATGAGGGCCTGAAGTGCACGTTGGAGAAGTTCAAGGGCTGCAGTCTTTAATATGTATTGAAACTCAACATCAAGAAGACAAAGATTGTCACCATTAGGCCAGATAGCAGCACCATTATAGACAGGAGATTGTTAACAACTTTCGCTTCCTTGGTCCCACAATCAGCCCTCTTGGCACCAGCAGTCAGAAAATCAAAAGACTTAGTGCATGGAGAAAGTTTGCTCTCAGGGACTTCTCCTGAGTCCTAATGAGCAGTGATGTCAGTCTGGAGACTAAGATGCACCTGATCTAGGCTATGGTCTTTGCAGTTACTTCTGTGCATCAGAGAGCTGGACAATGATTAACTCTCAATTCTTGAGAGTTACGGTGCTACAGAAGAGTATTAAACATTCCATGGGCTTCCGAAAGAACAATTAGGTTTGTCATAAAGAGAGTGAAACCAAGTTGCTCCTTTGAGAAGAGGATCTTGAAGCTCTGTCTCTCATACTTTGGGCATGTTTTCAGGAGGGACAGATTAGTCCTTAGAGAAGAACATTATGCTTGGAAGGGCTGAGGTACAGCACAAGAGGGGAAGACCCTGGATGAGATGGATTGACACAGTAACTGGAATAATAGTGTTAGGTGTGTTGGAGACATGAGACTGGCTCAGGACAGTGCAGGGTTCAGAGCTACTGTACATAGGGTCACCATGAGTTGCAGGCGACTCAACAGGACATAGCAACCACCAACCAATCGATCAAGAGACTGAGTAGACCTGATGTGAGATTTGGTCCTACTCTGAGCACACAGCCACACCTGCTTGTTCACACCTGAGCTCAGCCCAGGATGGACTTCAGCTTGCCCTGAACTAACAAGCTCTGGCATGTGCACGTGGTGGGTGGGAGCTGGTATGGTCCTGATTGAAGGGAAGCCAACCACCTACATTCCAGTTCATTGACAAGCCCAGAGACAGAGGTTCTCCAGTCTCAGCCCTGCACGGTGCCAGAATAAAGTGAGCCAGTTACCTGCATCCTCAAAAAGTCAGCTGGGTCTCAATAAGTGGGCTCTAACGTCACAGTTTTTGTCTTAAACTTCACATTTGTTGGCAGAGCTGACTTTGCTGTGCCTCACTTTCCTTATAGGAATGTCATTCCTTTTTTTCTTTTTTAAAAATTTTATTTTGTTAGTTTTAATGAACATTTACAGATACTTTGGATTTCCATTCATTCATTTTTGCATTTTTCTCCCTGCCCACCCCTCCCCACCTAGTTCATTCTTTGAAAAGTAGAAGAATAATTCTTTCATTGGTATACAATCCCCCCTCCCTGAGTCATTCCTTTTAAAGTGGTTAAAAAATGGGTAACTAGGCCAAACCTCCTGGTACACAGGGCCCGCAGTTCCTGTGTGAGGTGGCCATCCCCTGCCCTTTTCTGTGTCCCTCTGGTGAACACTCTGCTCTTCAGCCCTAAGATTGGCTGTGGGAAATGCTCAGTAAATGGAGGAGTGTCACCAACACGTGTTTGCCTTTCAAGATCAGAAGATCTCAAAATCTCCCTTTTTCTTTAAATTTAATCTAGGGATGGGAAACACTAAAGAAAAAAGGAACAAAAATGTAATCTAGAGCTGGCTGGTCCTGCAGGATGGAGGCTCTGTGGCGGTTGTCATTGGAGCGTCCACCAGGGGGCACCAAAGACTCAGA